ATGCCGGCCCAAGGCCCCAAGCTCTGGCTCCAGCTCCAGCCTCATTTCTCGCAGCCTTTTGTCGGCGACCCCCTTTACAGTCGTACATCATCATCAGGAGGCATCAGAGTAAAGTTTATTCGACTCTCCTTTGTTGTTATTGCTCGCCTGCACCTGCAGGACACGTAGGATATATGCTGGGACAGCCTCTTTCCCGGCATATGCATAAGCAAACACTGAAATTGGTTTACCCTTCGGAGTCTGGCAAATGCCCAGAGATATCCAGAGATATATCAAAACCCACACAGTCCCAATTGTAACTATATGCCGTATGATGGATGATGATTATAATAAGAAAATTCAGAGGATCAAGCTGATTGACTGATGCCCCCAAACAAGAAAATTTGCATAGAGGACGAAAAACAGGGATCCACCGAAATTAGTTAAAGTCTTTATGGGATTTGCCAAGGATTCAATTGAAAATGTAATTTATTAGGGTATATTTGATGGGTCATCAAGGCAGGGCATAAAACATAAATTAAATTACCTGAAAAATGCTAAAATAAAACTCAAAATAAAACATCAACAGACGAAAGTTAAAAGCAAATGTTGTTTTTACAGCTAAAATAAAAATTTTGTGGCTTTATTTTTGTCGAAAAGTTTGGTGTTTAGAACATTATTTTAGTTGGAGAGAACTAATTTGTTATATTTCGGAATAATTAAAGAATTAAATGGATTAGAAAACAAAGCCATGGCTTTTCTATGATTTTCCTAACAAAACAAACTCGATGTAGGCCTTAATAAATCCCCATTTTTCTGCAAGGACAGCATTAAATGTGAGTCCTTCTACCCGGTTGTTATCCTTATAATAATAGCTAGAACGTGTAACAAGTTTATGGTCAAAAAGGGAAGTCAGTCAGCGGTCAAGGAGTGAGGTAAAGCAATCGAATCGATTCTCAGTGAAAGCCACTTTCACCTGGTGACATTTCTGGACTCGCCCACTAAATGAAATTACTGTGGTTACATTAATCGCTCAGTTAGTCATTCACGTGGCTTGTCAATCAATCAATCAGGCCTCTGTACATAGACAAAGACATATGTATGTACATGTGTATACATCAAACGCATAAACGGCGGGCGGCACGTGTCAATTTTTGGCATCTAATAAAGCTTATGGAGCGCTAAATTGGATTTGCATACATTATTGGTTCACATATAATGGTGGTGACTTGTCCTCCCATTGAAGCGTGAAAATTCCACTCATTTCAAGGCCCAACCATGGACTCCTATCTATCTTTAAATATATTTTCCAACACCCAAACCCAAAGGTATGGGAATGGATAGGTAATCAAGTATTCCATCATTCAACAGGATTTTGGGCCTGTGTGTGTTTACATTTGATTGCTGTAAATGCGATTAAGCTGAGTGACTTCAAAGTGACTAAATTTGATTTCGTTTTCAGTGAAAAGGAAATTGCCTGCGAAAATGGCAGAGTGAGAGAGACGAGACAGATCCTAATTTATGCTTAATAAGACTCTGGTCGTAAATCTCTAAGGTAGTTGCTCCTGCATGTGTGTCCGTGTACCCAGGGGAGTCATAAATAAGGCCCTGAAAACTGAGCAAAAATCTGCACATAAAATGAGCCAAATGCACATTTTCTCCCTCTAGCCCCCGGCAACTACAGCCACTACTTGCATTTTAATGTCCTTCGTGGAAGGCAAGCCTAGAGCCTAGAGCCCGCAAAAGGTCAACATGACGCGTTTTCTGCGGTGCGGTTAGCGGATAACCCTCTGCCCTCCGGTTTTCCACTCCCACAGCTGCCTGCGGTCAGTGCAACGGTTTGAAATTACGACCCAACTGGCACAGGTTCCAGGAGATGAGTAGAAGGGAGTATTTATATACTCGGAGAAAAGTATGTCCTTAATTTGAAAGTTAACTATAGAAATATATGGTCTAAAATAATGCTTAAATTAGTTTTTAATCAGAAACGTACTTGTTTGAATATTTAAATATAATTGTTGACTTATTTTAGTACAAAATTAAACATAATTCTCTTCCATTTTCAGTGCAGGTCTATGTGGCCCATGGCACATGGCTAAAATGAGATGAAAATATGGCTGCAGTTGACTAGATGGCCATAAACATGTTACATGATCCGTTAACAAAAGAGGTTTGGGTGGGAGAAAGGGTAACCAGCTGCCAGTCAGAGTTTTCCAGGGTTGCCACGCAACCTGCGGTACTCAGAAATTAATTGAAGCTTTAAGAATAGATGAGAATTTCAGCGGTAAACTGGAGACCAATTAATGCCGGTTATGAGAAACATGGTTTTATGCCAATCATTGGGTTTTAGTTTTCCATTGGTTTTAAATTTTAAACAAGCTACAAGTTAGGGGATTTAATTAAATAAAAAAACGATTTAGATGTAAAGTGCATGAGCTTATAGGTAGCTTAAGTTCTTTAAACAGATTCAAAAATCCAGCTTAATAATCAACTTTTGACCTTTCAATCAATGCTGGCTTCTTGCCAGATCGCGACTCAAGACTTGTATCACTTTGCCGCTGATAATATCGATTGATTAGTGAAACTTGGGCTGCACTTGACAATCCATTAGCCCAGAAAGGTTGCTGCTCCACCACCCTTGGCTTTCACTCACTTCCCCAGAGTGAATTCCTGCATCCAAGGTCCGGGGGAGAAAAAATCAAATTACTCCATTTGCATGTGGGGGAAAGTGCAGGGGGAAAATCGTGTTGGAGCCAAGTATATGTATGTACATGCATAAATAGTTTACACCCACTCCACGGGACTTAATTCCATCCTTCATCGGGTTCACATTACATGAAATCCTTGCTGGGCCCCACGTGGCGTATGAGTAACGCAATGCCTTATTAACATGGGTCCTGGAGTTTATCGAGTGAGAAGTGCATTAAAAAATAACACTTATGAAGGCAAATTATCTTATTTATAATATATAATATTTTTTGCTGCAAAATACTCATTCTACTTGCTGTTCGACATGAATGAAACAAATGTTGATGAAATTTACTAAACGAATTTTCTTGTTAAGGGGCACAAATGGCCATGCCTCATGCAGGGCCACAATTGGGGAGTTAAGGAGAGAAGGTTTCAGCTGACAAGCTCACAAAGCCTTTACTGGTAAGAGGGATAGGCGACAGGAGACACATTTTTGCATGCACCAAAAGAAAAAATTCAAGAAATATATACACTTAATTTTAACAATTCCTTTTACAAGCCTTGAATCTTCTTAAATTTAGCAGAAACATCAAAAATCTAAGTATTAGAAAAAGTTTTAAAAGGAATATATATATATTTCTATATTATTCTGTGTAAAAAAAAAAAGCGATTGACGACTGGCGACCACTTGACAGCCACAGGCTCGACATGCATACAAGTCCTTTTGCCGCTTGTGTCGCTGCTTTGGCTCCCGGTGATGTTTTCGTTGTTATTGTGGGAAGGACAACGCTCACTTGGCTTGCCTTTTGTTTTGCAAACAAAGCAAAGGGGGGAGGACGGGCCACACAGGATGGGAGGCCATAACGGCAGCAAGCCATAAATCAATTGGCAGCGTAGAAAAATTGCAGAAAATTACTTGGATATTTACGGTCACTGAGCACACAATAGCAGCCGGCAGCTCTGGCCCACCCACATCCTCTGTTGTCCTTTGTCCTCCTTGTCCCTCCTTCTCGTCCTTTCCATCCTTGTCCGTTTTTGTGCCCAGCAAAGAGCAACAAGTATTGCCCGGCATCGGTGACACTCAGGGACAGCGACAGGACATTTGCTGGCTATAATTACACATGTACCTTGCAGCGGGGCCACATGTCGTATTAGTAATAAGAGCCAAGGTCAAGGGCGTCGTCGCACAGGAAAAACAAGGAGGGGGAAGTGGTTATGGCGGGTTTTTTTATTGCTTTTAAATAAACTTAGACGACTTGTCAGTGTTTTAAGGAATTAAGGTGAAGGTTTGCTTTAAGAGGTTTATGGATTATAATTCGTAGAATTTTTAAATAATAGTTAGCCATATTTATATCTACTTAGGTTAAACAAGATTAATTCAATAAAATCAGTTACATTCATAGAAATAATAGGTTTTTGGCACACCCCTTCGATCGCCAGCCATGCTCCTTTTCGGATGATGCACTACTCCTGTCAAGGCTCTCCAGGAATAGCCTCCTGCTGCGCTCGAGATGGAGGCAGCAGAGGCGGGAGAGCCCGGGGTGGCTTGGCATGTAATTATTCTGTCATCCGAGGTGTGTCACAAAACCAGAAGAGAGGAACACTGGCATGGCATATCTGGGGGTCTGGGCTGGTATCCTCCTAGAAGAGACAAAAGCCAGTCGACTGGCCAGCTGGCCTTGCCCTCTGACCCGGTCCTGTTTGTTTATGGCCAGCCAGCACTGTACATGTGCCGTAATTGCATTGTTGCCGTTGTAATTACTCGCAAACATGCAGTTAATTAAAATCATTAAAATGCCTTTTGCCTTTCAAGGAGATACATAGATACATACCGAGGGGTGGTATATCGAGGGAGACACGACTTGAAGACAGCTGGGAGCGCTTTAATTTCCGTTGGGTGGCAGGAACTGGCGCCCAACTGTCACCAAGTGGCAAGTGCAAATTATTCTGGCTTCAGCTCAGCTTTTGGCTTTTTTTTTAGGTGGTGCCTGGCACAGAGAGCACCCTTTAGATTGGGGAACTGGGATTGGAGGCAATGTATCCCGTCGACACAGACTGACGCATGACGTCGTCTAACACGTTGCAACAAAATACGCTTGGATTGATTTTGATTAATGCTCTCTCTCTCTCCGGCAGTCGCAAAAGTCGAACAAATGATTTTAACGCTTGCCAAAACATACCAAAGTGACAGGCGAGTGTAAAAGTCAAGCACACGACAAGTCACAAGGAGTTCGAAGGACCCCAAGGACAATGTCAGCGGCAGACATGGCAACCTTGTCAAACACAAGCCAGACACCTAAATAGTTAATGGTTCAGTGCATTCCCTGGGCAACTTTATTCTGACTCAGTGTGTGGTAGTTCGAATGGCACCTCAAAGGAGTCATATACCACCAGATGAGCCTTTTGCAGGAGACTTATTCCATTCAATTCGATATTCCTCTCACTTGCCAGGCAATGGAGTCCTAGTTCCAGGCGACATTTGGAGCAATGAAGGTTCAGATACTTTTCCCCATTCGAGGTCACTCTGATCCTGTTCTCGTATAACAAGTTGTAGATCCTTGTCAATAGCACATCGTAGGGGGTTTCACCTGCCTTGGCTGACTTATAGCCGATAATGTTGCCACAATAACGACAGGCATAGGCTATCTTAAAATTGGACATTTGAAACTTTGAGCAATGATTGCTGGCTTGAGGTGAAAATGGGAGTTAAACTAAGAGCTAAACTATAAACTATAGATCCTAAAAAGTAACAGAAACTGAATTAGGATAAATATCAAATACATTGAGGGTAGTTAAACTGGAAACAGAAACCATAAAGCCTCTAAAAGACCCATCTACATAAACCTTTGAAACTCTCCTCCAATTAGCTAAAATAACCTGAAAACCCTGCCAGTTTTCAACTGGCTAAATCCTCTCCCATCCTCCCGTTTCCAGGCACCATAAATAACCAAAGCTATTGATGGCGAATCATTTGTGCTAAGTCGGCCCATCATTAGGCAGGACGAACAATCGAAAGGCACATAAAGCATATTTGATGCTCATTGGCAAAGTTGATTACAAATACAATGCCGTATTCATGGCCACTATCCTGCATCCTGTCCCGCTCCACATCCTGCTGGATAATTAATGAGTTTAGTCTGAGGCTATATGCTGGGCTCGGTGGCACAGAGAAGTGTTGCCATCATCGTCATTTGTTTATGCGTCGCCTGTTTGCAGCTGTTATTTTATTCAGGCGCTCGCCTTGAAGATAATTTGCGCACGTGCTTCAGATTCTCTGACTATGGGTGTGTGTGGGTGGGTGTCCTTGTTTGGCAGGATGCTTGGATACTTGGGGTGTGGGCGAGTGTGTGTACTTCCTCCTACCTTTTCGCTTTCGCCTGGATAATTGCTAGCATTTGTCTTGAGCGTATAATCAAATATAAAATCAAATTACTGATTCGAATTTCTAACTGGCGCCACAGCAACGTGGACTCCCAATTAAAAATTTATGTTCCCCGGAGTGCCAAAAAGATGTAATAACAAATCAAGCAGGAAAATAAATTATACAGAAACACGGAATTTGGTTAAGGAAAATAAAACCGAAATTCATTTTCGGTACTGTGGTTAATTGCTGTGACTTTATGGCTTTCTTTTAAGGAAAATATTAAATTTTAAGTTGGTATTGAAGTAAGCTAAACAAATTTCATTACTTTTGTTAAATGATATATATATAATCTTGTATTCTTATAGTTATTAATTTATTTGGTAAAGAAACAAGCTCTAACATTTGAGTAAATACCTCGCTCTTCTTTACTTATAATCCTAATATTCATCATTCCTCTAAACACTAATATTATATTCAATAACTTTAGTACAAAAATTCAACTCCGAGTTTAGCCTCTCTCCTTTTATAAACATTTCAATTAGGAAAATATAGATCTCCGGAATAGGAGCTATCCTAACAACACGGATAAATTTGTAGTCAGTGCTGAAAGGCAAAAGATTAAGCCAACTTTTTATAAGTGGACCAACTAGAACAACAAATTAATGAAAACTAAGTTGAGCATTCCTTGCCAGTTATCAAAGTTTTCTCTCCATTCTCCTTGCTGCTCCTTGCTGCTCCTTGCTTCTCCTTGCTTCTCCATTTTCTCTTGGCCTCGTTTTTGGCCAAGTTGGTATCCGAAACCGTCTCCAGCACTTTGCTCAGACCGAAATTGATGAAAACGAAATTGATGTTGACTCCTGGGTAAATGTGAAGGAGATGGGAATGGGCATAAGGATACAGATAAGGAGGCAAGGCGATGTCGATGTCGATGCGGTTAGCGCTGCCTTTTTTGGCCCAAAAATAACGACGGCAGCAGCGTTGGGCAAACGGAATGGGGAAAGCTTTTAGCAGATACTTTACGCAAATCCCATGGGAAAACATTGGCCCACTTTTAGCCAGGCGAAGCGGCCCCATCATTAAAAGTTAAAAAGGATTTTCAACGGATTTACGAATTTGGAGCTGAGCCCGAAAGACAAACAAAGCCATCAATTTACATATGCGAGCAGGTCAGGGAGAGAGAAAGAGCTGAAAATTCAAGCAACAAGAAATTTAAGATGCAGCCAGCTCAGAAACAAAGCCAAAGCCGAGCCAAGACTGTCAAGTAGTCATCTTCATCCTCATCGTCATCATCGTCGTCGTTGTCGTCGTCCCACATCCACTTATGGAGGTCCTGCCCTCCACTCACCAGTGTCTCCCTTTTTCCCCCCACGTAGTCATCGTCATCGCCAGGACCTTGAGTTGCGTTCGCCTTGCCTTTTGCCTTTGTTGTGCTAAACTTGTGGATTAGCTAAATGCAGACAGGGCATGCCCTGGCATGCAGGCGGCTTCATTCCAGTGGCAGTAGTAAGTCCTCCCTCTGGGATGTGGCAAGGAGGACGCCCACTTAAACCTAAACATTCCGCCTTGTTGAGTTTTTATGAGCTGCTCATGTTGGCGTTTCACTTTCCTCTCATTCTTACTCGGTCTTTCATTTACTTACACCTGATGTTCAGCTTATTTTAACCTGCCCCTCCAGGTGCTGCCCTGGCTCTAGTAAACATCAGTAACTTGGGTAGCAAACGAATGCCTGATGGAGCTTTTTAATGACAGAAATCTTAGGAGAGTATACAGATATTGCAAGGGGCTTATTTCAGGTATTTTAGGGACTGTTTATTAAGTATAATAAAGCAGAAAAAACTAGTTAAGTGAAAAACTGTTTTAAAACCTCAAGTCTGAAAAAGATCTCTAAAGAATTAAAGCAAATCCGAAGTAATTTTTATCCTTAATGACATGTAATTACTTGGCCCAAGGAATTCCTCTTGATGAATTCAAATTCCTTGATTGCGCTGAGGAAAGCGTATCCCCAGAGGCGATCCTTCCATTGTATTTAATTGAAACACATTTGGACACGGCTCACGGAGATTTGCTGCCTCTGCCCAGCTGTCCCCTAATGAGGACCCTTCAATTCCAATCGATTGCACAACCACGGCCACGCCTTCACCAGACTGGCCAGGAATCAAAATCAGTTGGATGCAATAGGCTGGAATAATTTGAGAGGGGATGTCGGAGGCGGAGGCGGAGGCTGGAGACTCGACCCCAAGGAGGCGTACTCAATGGGGCGTTAATGAAATAATTAACGCATAAATACAATTTGTTGGTCAGAGTTCAAGGGAACAAGAAGCAAACCGCCCAAAGGGCCAGCAAATTTACCACAACTGCTACATTGAGCAGCCATCAATTTTGGTAGGGCCTTCGATTTACTGCTCCTCCCGCACACCCAAAAATCCTCTACAGAAACCACAGAGATCAGGGCAGCGAAGCATGCAATTTGCCGACTTATTTATGGGGCCCAAGATGGCCAAGAAGCGAACGGAAGCACCAGCGAAAACTTTACCAAAATAAAAGTTTTCCGCTATTTGATTTGTTGGTCATTCGGTTTTGCCCGAATACAAAAAAAAAAAATAAGAAATCTATTGAGCCAAAGCCAAGCGAACGAACCAGTTAAAAGCATTAGCCGGGGATCGAGGCAAAAGCCACAGTAACTGCACTTTGTCGGTCTCCCACACAAAACCAGAAGAAGATACAGATACAGATAGAGCTATCCTTTAGATACATATACACATCCACTGACAATAAAATTCAGCAACTGTTTGGCTTGCACATCCTGCTGCGCTTTTGTTTGTCGACCAGCGAAAATTTACAATTCCTGGCCGCTGCAGCGCGACAGCGCAGGATGTTCGGCGTCGGCCAGGATGCGCCAGAAATGGCTTCACTTCCTCCACCCAGGTCCTTTTTTGGCTGGGCAATTTAAGGCCACCTTTAAGAGGAACAGGACACCTATACTTGGGGGCGCCCGCAGGATTCACGTTTGATGTGACGCTCGGGATTGTTTGTGGGCCAATCAAACGAGTGCCTCTAAAAATACCCGGCCGGGCTACCCATTTCACTTGTCAAGAGCAGAGATACACAGTCCACCAGCCACTTTAGTGGTTTAGGGCCATTCGTGTCCTTTGTGGTGGGTGCACGGCGAAAAAAAGGCAGGATATGGGACATGTCTGGGTTCTTTTGATGGAATTTTTAAGGAATTTAACTTTTTTTTCTCTTTGAACTGATTAAGCTGTAACTGTAGCTTTTAAGATTTCGATAAAACCGGAACTTTGTTTAAAGTATCATGCCAGAAAATGAAGAGACTATCAAAATTACAATAAATAGAAAATATCAGGAGGTTTAATTAGATTTCTTTGGGAATATCGATCCAAGGTATAATAATTTTAGTTAGAAGCTTGAAACGCAGTGAAGAAGTCATTTACGACCCTATAAACCATATATATTCTTGATCAGCATCAACAGGCGAATCTTTCTGGGCATGAAGAAAGGAAAATATTTTATTGCCAATTTTTTTCAAATTTTTCATTAAATCATTAAATCATTAAATCATTAAATCATTAAAAGTGGCCAAAATGTTGATTATTTCACATTTTTATTTAAGTACGCAGATTTATTACCCTAATAAAAACTAGCATAGGGCTGTTTGCCGATTTAAAATTAACGCTTTTTGGCTAAGCTATGAGTTTTTTAAACTTTGAACAAATTGTCATATAAAAATATAAATAATATCGTCTCAAAAATGGGATTATAGTTTTAGTCAGAAGCTTATAAATATGTGGAGTCGTTTCCGACCATATAAACCATATATATTCTTGATCAGCATCAACAGGCGAATCTTTCTAGGCATGAAGAAAAGAAAATAAATTTTTGCCAATTTTTTTTAAATTTTTATAAAGGGTTACATCGTTAATATTGTCAAAAATTGGCAAAAAATTTAAATTTTTAAAATCATAAAACTTAGTATGCAGATTTGTTAGGCAAGCAAAAACTAGAATGGAAAAGCTTTCCGAATTAAAATTAATGCATTCTTGGTTTAGTTATGATATTTGAAAAATTTTGTATTTACCCAAAAAAATTTCATACAAAAAAATCGATTTAATATACCTTGATTTTTAGTTCCTTGGTAATATGCAAAGGCCAAGAAGCCAATGGTTGCCAAAAGTCATAAATAAATACAATTAAACATTATTAAATTTTGCACAATTTCAGATATTATAAATATATTATTATAACCATAAGTTATATTGATATACATATATAATAATTTTCCAGGAACCAATCCTTTCT